CTTACGTGTGTGAAATAAAGGTGAAGGCTGATGGAGACTGGTGACTGAGATGCTACAAAAGCTTGCATTCAAATCATATCGACCTTATCATCAATGAAAAACGTATATGTCGGCGATTGCAAGCGTTTGGCAAGAAGTCTTTGGCCTTTGCTTTTCTTTCGTGCTAGCACTCATGTACTTGTTGGTGTATGCGTAACGTAGCGAGAAACAAACGCCACCTCGTAGACATCAGTTGGCGTCACTCAGTGTTGTGGTCAAAGGTACTACCTAAAGGTTTTTTGAGTCACGCCAATCTACTGTGTTTTACCCCAGCTGACATAATCTCAGTTAAACGTTCGTAATCATTTAAGTAACAGCTACTATCATAGTGCTTTCCTAACTCAAAACAATCCCAACTGATTAGTTAAATCTTTGTAAAACTTATTTACAAAGATGGAGGAAAATCTTTCTATGAAACGCAGCAAAGGTACCTGTTCCATCGAATTACTGTCAGACAGACAGTACTGAAAATAAAAGAGGAACCTTTGATATAACGTATCAATTAGGGTTACCACACTGTCGCACAACAGCATGCTAAGGAGAAGTGGACAGAAAAAGAGTGATATTCGAGTAGAAAAAGTGTTTGAAAGGGGGGAAAGGGATCAATAAAGAAAGCTAAGTGGAAGTTTTCAAATTTTCAGCGATAAAGAAGGTATGTAAGTGCTTCATTGTGATCTCATTTCATCCGTATCATCAGCATTCTGTAACCACGTATTCCAATCATCAAGAATACCTTAGAGAAGTATTCTATACTTACTTATATGGTTCAGATCAAGGACTCCATAGAATGGTGTCATGCCTTCGTTTGGACTACTTCAGCTATGTTCCAGTATAGTCCTTCCTCGAAAAACACTGTAGGGAAATAGACGAAGATTTAGCATGTATGGGGGCTGTTTAAACAGTCTGGGTCCGTGAAGCTTCACAGCTACATTGACCCGGGAATCATTTTTACCTAGCTGTTCGAATATCATAAAAACAGTTCTGATTGCGTAGCTGTACCATAAGTGAGCAATTTTGTGGAAATATCTACTATCCTAAACATGTGACCTCCTCATATCTTCCACTTTTAACGGCTGTATCTCAGTCTTAAGTACAATAGTCTGGACTGTTGTAAAGTATACGCATTCTCTGAAAGGTATTCAGATATCCCACCAGTAGCAGAGATAATTTAAGTATGCAAATTATTATCAGATTAAACCTGACCATAGAGGTGGAATATAATTCCGTTACTTACTAGATTACGTTTCGGGCACAACTCATTATCCATAGTCATATTGTAGTGGGGGTTGCTAATAAGAATGGACATAAGTAGTATATGTTAAGAGAGTGGCAGAAGTCATAGAGATTTACCAGCAGTGGGTAAGGATTCTGCTAAGAGAAACGAAAGGCACAGCACAGGCGTGTGAAGAGGAAATCAAAAGAGAAGTAGAAAGGGAAATAAAGCACATCTGCAAATGATGCTTTCAGTGCAAGGTATACCATATTTAACGACTACTGTAGCACTTGATGACGATAAATCTCCTTTGCTTCTTTGGGTCTTCTTGTTTCCTTGTATTTGGCATCGCCGCTTCTGGACGTGATGAAGATCCTGTGGCTTGCAGAGTTCGAGGATGTAGACATCACAGTCTTTCTCAGGGACTTCGACTCAATTGCGTAGCTGATGGGTGTCCGGGATCCAGGAGCGAAGGTCATCGTACTTGGCACGTTGCTGAGGGGTAGAGTAAAGGCAACGTATGACGGCGTGGAGAGGGGAAGGAGACTTGGCAGAGAATGGTTGAATGACTGAAAGCGGATTTCGACAGCCTGGCGGACAGGGAGCTGGCGATGCAGCAGTTTCGGAGCATGATACTTGGAATAGACGAAGATCCGCTGGTATTGGCTGTGAAGTCGATCAAACTACTTCGATGAGCACTTCCCACGTTGGATGAAGACTCACAGGAGCAGTTGCTGGCTGAACAGTTCCCCGTAAGTGTCCCGAATGCCAGTGCCCAGCAGCTACGACTAGTGAACGCAGCCCAACCGATGGATATTAGTGAGACGGCCAAGGTGACCAGACAGCCGATGATTACAGGAGTAGCTACGGTGGAGTCACCAGAGGTGAATAACTGGAAAAAACAAATCGACAACCTTCAGGAGGAGGTGGCTGCACTTCGAGTGAATATCGACAGACAGAATAAATGCTTTGCATGAGAAAACCTGGACACTAGCGAAGAAACTGTCCGGAGAGGCGAAAAAGAAAACCTTTTGAACGATATAATATGAGTTCTGTTTTTCCGACTAGGCTAGATATTGCAGTAGCCATAGATATGGATGCTATGTATGCCAGAATGAAAATAAATGATCGGGAGATTATGTGTTTAATAGATACATGGGTGGCAGTCGCACTGATAGATAAGAGTCAGTCTCAGATCATAATACTATGCGCTCTAACGGTTAGTGGACATGCATTAGAAATCGCAGGCATATCAGATTGTGTCGTTGAGATCGCAAGTCGGAAAATTAGATTTCCTCTCGTTGTCACCACACGTCAACAATGGCCAATTCTAGGTGCTGATTTTCTGAGAGAAGTGGGCGCAGTTATTAACACGAGGACAGTAATAGTGGCTACGAAGTACGGGTCGTCCTCCACGCAGGAAAACCTTGAGGTGGCGGAGATTAAGGTATCAAGAGCACCACATTCAGAAGCGCAAAACACCGTGAAGTTGGTTAAGAAGTACGACAGATTGTTCACGGGAGATGAAGACCCCTACGAATAATGTGACAAGGTTCAGCATGAAATCCCAGTGACAACATTTATAACACTGCGAATAACGTATTGGGCGCCAGGTTCAGGAAATGCTAGATGAAGGTATTATTGAAGAGGCTGATAGCCATACAGTTTGCCAGCGCTTTTGGTAAGAAAGTCAAATAGAAAAAATAGATTCTGCGTTGATTTCTGAGAGTTAAATAGCATAACACAACTGAAGCCGTGTGCCATGCCTACGGTAGCTGAAACACTGGATCATCTGCAGAATGCAAAAGTACTTACAGTTCTGGACCTCCACTCAGGCTACTGGTAGCTACCAACAAAAGAAGGCGATAAAGATAGAACAGCATTTATTATGGGCAAGAAGCAATACCAGTTCAAACGAATGCCATTTGGTCTGGCAGGCGCATCATTTACATTTAGACGATTGATGGTGTTGTTGCTGAAGAATTTAGAAAACTTGGGGGTGTATGGTGATGACCTGGTGGTGTACAGTCAGACGGAAGCAGAACATCTAAAACACATGTAAGCCGTTTTGAGACGCATTGACGAGTTTGGACTTCGCATCAATAAGACAAAATCTCAAGTAGCCAAGAAGAGTGTTACATTGCTAGGACATAGAGTTGGGAACAGTGAAATAAAACCATTACCTGAGAAAATTCTGATGCTTAAAACCATTCCAGTGCCGAATTCCAAGAGGAAACTGCAACTGTTCAATAGTCGGTTCCTCAAAAAGTTCAATGATATAGCAGCACTTTTATATAAGCTACGTGGCAACCCAAAATTTTTGTGGACGGAGGAGGTACAGAAAACGTTTGATCACATCAAGGAACTCCTGAATGACCAGGAAATGACTTTAAAATTACCAATACCCGGCAGCCCATTCATCGTGTCCACTGATGCAAGTGATTATGGAATGGGCGCAGTTCTGAGACAGACTGAAGGAGTAGTGAAGTATGCTAGCCGTGTCCTGACACCTGCAGAACAGAAATATTCCACAGTTGAAAAGGAATGTTTGGCGATAGTTTGGGCACTTGATAAGTGGAGATCGCACCTCCTCGGTCAACGATTCCATATTGAAAGTGATCATAAACCTCTACAGTGGCTCAAGACAGCAAGAGACCCCAGAAGAAAATCATCACGTTGGATGTTACGACTACAGGAGTACGAATTCAACATCGGCCATGTGGCATGGAAAGAATATTGGTTGACAGACTTCTAATCGAAATCAGAGGAAGAAAGTGAACGACCTGGGATCGCATATGGTGTACTTGCAGTGGAATGGGACCCTTGCAATACCAGGTAACTTCAAAACTTTAAGAAACTGTATTACGTAGTTCTAATTCTCTCACCACCTTTGTGACATAGGCAGGTAGTGAGATTTTCCATATATCCTGAACAGGTGCTAAGTCATCCCTGTTGCATGTATTAAGTGTTGATTCGGTAAACAAAGATTAGATAGTCAATCTCTTTCGCTACCCCACTAGGCTGGTTTTAAGGATTTTCATTGTATTAGCAGATTCCACTTATAAATACTTTTTGTATTTGAGATGAGGTTCATTTGGAACGGAGACTATTATGGCCGATAAAACTTTCCGAATCAGTGAAGTAACCGTTGTATTGGCCAAAAGGGTATGAGACGTACATGATTAAGTTGAACAATATTAATGAGGATTCAGGCATTTGACCACAAGTGTATCGCCTAGCTTTTGTAAGTGGGAAGTATGAGAGTTGGGTAAATGACCTTACATAAAATAATGCAGATTTCATTGTTTAAAAAGACTTAAGTTTGTACAAGGTGAAATGGTTGGAATATGCACCAGTCATTTCTAACCACCTTTTCTTTTGACTACTGATGATGGTTGGAAATGGGAGAAGGGTGCCACAGGTTTCAGGATGATTAAACCAAGGTATGGAATCAAGCTTTCGAAATGAAATGTCTGAGGAGCAATCAACTTCTTGGTTAGAGTTCAAATCACGGTACAATTCAAAAACAGAGGATCTGAGTTGATATTTGTGATGATAAATCCAACTGATTCAGGTTAGATAATGTTTACACGCTGGGAACAGGACAGAGTGGTATTTTCTTGGCAGCTAAGGTTACGCTTTTCATCCACTGAAACATTTTTTACGTGGTTCAATCTATGGGTATTATACAAGTTACAAGCTTATTGCTCACTAAAAACTTATTAGGAGCCCATGAAAGGTCACTTACTTCATTCCTCGGTGAATTCCTTCTTCCGGTGGACATTCAAATGCATTTACACATTTACTTTCTTGGTAGGCCGGTATATGAATAAACCACGATGAGTCTATTATCCCACTAACTAATACAGGATGTCCAATACGACTGAATAACTTTCGACCTAATCTATCCACATTCATAAGAACTCCTATCCCACCAGCACTGAAATAACAAGTTGAAACGGATGTAAGAAAATTAGCTAAAAAATAACACAAAAAATCAATTTGTTGTTAACCTGAAACTTTGTTACAAAGATACAATTTCAGTAAATGTATTGAACGATTATGCACCGAAAACAAAAGTTATTGACCAGTTAAAACATTTCTATCAAGATGACACAAACTTATGACAAACTGACTGATTTCATAACAGTATTCATCAAAGGTGAGTTTCAGGTGGAAAACTATTAGGATTCATGCAGCACAAACTAACTATTGCGTCACAGTATCAGGTACCTCAGCAATAAGCATGCATGATTCCATAAGGTAGATAGCTTAGGATTTTAGGTTCTGTGGGCAGCCCATCAGTATTCAGAAACCAGCTTAGAATCCAGTATACGGAAAATGGCCATCCTAACAGGAAAGATGAACGATAAGTTGTTCAGTCTGGGACACCTTTTTGACTGTTCCGTTCAAACGGCTGTACAGCCGCTGATATATGCAATTTTTGATGAATAGCTGGAGTGTATCAGACAGTGACAGTAGTTTACTGGGCATAGTAACAAGCAAAATATTGTTTGGATTTTGAAATGGTAAAAGATATCATTAGAATACTGAAGATTAATGAAAACATAGCAGAAGTCTCTGAAGGATTACATTTCAATAAGCCCCGTCTTCCCCCATTGTCTGAATCTGAAGCTAGTTTCTAAGGATACCCTGAAATCACCTTCCTTCTTTCATTTTGTTCAGTTCTCAGGGAGTTTATGTTTCTGTGCTGTTTATCACCACATCTGATCTCTTGTCATGTTACTCAGGGTCTTGTTCAAACTGAAGGATTTTTGGGCACTTCTATTGTTTTGCTGTTATTAATCAGCAGTTTTGATTATTTGAAAATTCGAAGGATATTTTAAGCACTGATATTATACTTTAGCTTGTCACTATACCCATCAAACTTCTGTTTACATTATGAATCAAGTTCAGCTGTAAAACTATCGAAAACCTAGATGGTTTGATTAGTTGTTTTTGTGTGCACACTGACAAGAATTAAGATACAGCAGCTGTCTTATGTCTCTAGTATCCGATGGTTCTCTAGCTGATGCCATGTCGTGATGAATATTCTGAAAAAAGTTTTGATAAGTGATTTAATTAGTTCTATTTGACTGGCTACTGGAGAATAATCAATGTCATATTGACTTATCCTGAGTGCTGATGGAGTTCTATCGGTCACGATCACCCTGGACCTAGTTTCCACAGCTTCATGCCGATTGTCTGCCTCCAATTAGTTTGGTTTCTTTCTTTCTTTTTTTATGTCAAAATTACGTCGTAGCAACAGTAGCAGATAAGTGTAGAAAGTAGTGATTCGAGTTTGCGCATTAAAATTTACAGCAAACAGAAAAAATGCAATATTAAGAGAAGTAATGCTTTCATTATTTTTCACGTGTACTTCAAAAACAACAACTCAGTGACCTGTACTCACTAGTCTGCAAATATACACCTTGTTGGGTGTTAAATAGTGAAAAAAAACCTTAAGGTTTGATAAGTGTCGGCTAGTAGTTGAATAGAGAACTCGTCTTTCGTTCCATTTAGTAATCTTCAGCTTTATGTTCGGGCATTCAAGTGAGTGTCAGAATCTCCATCAAAATCCATATTCAAAGCCCATCAGTTCAAAGACCAGATTATTATCCACTGGGTCACTAAATTAAGACACTTTTACCTGTACAACAGGTGTCGCTTGGTATTGCAACTTGCGATTTCTGCTTTTGGTTTATTTATATCAGACAGATCTATTCTTTTTAACTGTTTGAAGAGATGCTGGGATTTCGCCTTGAATTTCATTTTCATGTTACTTTTTTCAGTGATACCTACTAACAAGGACGATGATAGTCGTAATAGGAAGCACTTTGTTGTTTGATCAACGGGTTCGCATCTCAGTTGAAAAGCGGTTATTCATTGGCTTACAGACCCATTCGTCTAACAGGCTTCAAATAAGATGAAGTGCATATCTATGATTTCACTAATAACCAACACCATTAAAGTGATAGCGAAATAAAACTCAAGTTAACATAGAAGCTTATGTTTGAAGAGCTTTTATGACTATACAGATCAATTATTTCCATCCACTGAAATGAGGGGTACAAGATTTAAAGTACTGACAAGTCTCGTGTGTCGAATTATCTGCTTTCATATTTTTTCATTATTTACGTTGGTTATATTTGGGATTAGTGTGGGTGGTAAAAAAATTGTTACCGAAATGTGCCAGAACTAGTAGGTAACAGTGTACACGCGGGGCAATCTTCCTAGTGTTTTCAATTACCGTATATTTTCGTATGGAGGCCTTTGATTCCAGTTTACCTAGTTACCTATAGTACAACTCTAGAGGATTAACAAATAATTTCTCAAGATTCAGAATGCTAGAATAGTTGAAAGGATAGTATGGCTAATTGGTACATTGTAATACTATTAGGGCATTATTTGATGGGATTTTATGTATGTGTAATATGCACTTGACTAGATAAGCCATGACAAATGTTCACTTACATAAGAACCAAGTCATAGTTAACTGGTATTTTTAGCTGGCGATTTCCCTGTCATAACATATACTTGGACCGGACCGATTTTTGCATAATTGTAGAAGGATAAGCTGTGACTATTTTATGTTGAATCAACACATCTTACAGCCCTTCAGAGATCTTTTACCCAACCTAAATCACAGTGATTTTATCTCCATAGAGGTCTAGTCAGAGTTCTGCACATGGTAAGATTTAACTTGATTTGTCTTTCTTAAAATCTGAAAAACATCAGCCAGCCACTTGCAAGTGAGTACGTTAGTATTAACGAAATGTGAATAATAAATTATCTGACAAAATCACAGTCAACTATACTGAGTTTTATCGTTTTCCTGAGTTGCTCAGTTGTGACTTAAGTAGCCAGTTGGTAAAGTCTCTGACATCACATCTGAGTAATACAAAATTGGACTTGTGAGGGAGTATAGTTCGGTTGAAGGTTGCGGATATGCCTTACTGGTAAGTACCAACTAACAGGAAACCTATGTCACTAACAGCTTCCTATCGATTGACTTCTAACGTCTAGCATAAGAAACTAAGTGAACGTCTGTAGTTTTCTGGGTTGCTAGCAGTGGTATCTAGGATAAGCGCTTCGGCCTGGTTGAGACTCTTCAGCTGGATTCACCTGTACCCCAGTGAGTAATGTTGTTCTCAGTATACAGCACTCACTGAGGTACAGGTAAATTCAACTGACGACTGCCATGTAGGGTGAAACGCGCATCCTGTATTCCGCTGCAAGCCATCAAGCAGACTGCAAGATAACGAATACTCAGGTAATATCGAGACATCCGCATAAGATCACATCTGCCAATAGAGGCTGAGTAATTCGACTCAGTATAGCAACTGGAGATCACAACTATTAAACAGCAACAAATGAATGGCTTTTAAATTTGTGATTAAAGTATAAATATGATACAAAAGTAGTCGTTCTCAAACTATCTGCCTTTTGTTGGTCGTGTGACAGTGCTCAATGTACTGAATATGAGCCATTTAATTACTGTTCACGTTTCCAAATACGTCTTTGATAACTGCTGATAAGTGAAAATGCACTTTAATATTGAATGACTACTTCCTAAACATTCTAGTAGTCCCGTTACCACACAACTCAAGTAAAACATTTTCAATTTACTTTTTAGCTTACCTTGAGCCTGCAAATATAACTTTTTCTGTATAGACTGCATTGTGCCATGGTAGATTATCAATCACTGCTGCCAGTATACGTGAGCCATGAAAATAGAATTCTAGTCAAAGTAATAAATATTCAGGATAAACAGAATTCATTAGATGCGTACAAGTTCACCGTATTCATCGTAATACTCAGTGGTAATACATGCAGAATTAGTCTTTCCCTAAGGTGGATTAGATGAAGTATATAACATCCAACTCCTGCTGTTTCAACTTAAAAACTTAGTTGCAGAAAAGAGAATTGTGAATTAATCATTTGCCGCACAGTAACTAACGTTATGTAACCTACTTAAATCTGTGTACTGATCATATTCTTCTCAGTTGTGAAACGCACTGCCATTTGGTGATGTCAGTAAGCAGTTCTGCAGGGGTTCAACAATAAGTTCTGTCACTTCAAAATGCGTCATCGCAAGTTTCAATATCGGAGAAAGCCTGCGTTTCATTGATATAAATTAGCTGAGAGGAACGAAATCTAGAGGAAACAGAACTACCCGCTAACTGTCTCTAAATATCTGATGAAAAGTGTTGATTGACTTTAAAGGCCACCCAAGTAACTGATGGAATAATCAATTAGTTGTCGCTATTTCACCCGACAGATTAGTTTTTTTAGGAAATAGGGAAAGTAACTGGTTATCTTAACAGTTTTTTGTGTTGCTTTTAAAGTCACTCAAAATGTTTAACTCTCCTAATAGTAGGATGATTATATGATTAAATGACCTTATTTCGTTCATGGTAATAATGTTGTTCACTGCTGGTTTTTAAAAGTAGGATCTTTCGAATATTTAGAATTTTCACTGAATCATCCTAGTTCATATGTCCAACAGACACATTGACATAGACTTAGTCTGTTAGCCGGTTCAAACTGGAATCTTACTTCAAGGATGAAACTAACTGGGGATTTAAATTCAACGGGAAACAATCCGTCATACTTGAGAGTGTTGGGTTATGTTTAATTTGGGCTCCCAAAAACACTGTAAAAGCCGTTTAGTGTGGCTGTAGCATCTCTACTGCCAAACTGTTCACTACAAGAGATGGGAAAGTACCTATGTAATTTGACTGGAGTTTCATAGCTACTGAAGTCGTATTTATTCCTCACTTCATGACTGAAAATACTTGCCTATCGTATGCACAAAACAATGTTGAATCACCTCATGTCAATGTTAAGCATATAAACTAACCAATAATTGAGTCAGTCAAGCAGATTGTTTCATAACTGATAACTTAGTGAAATCAGATAAATGAACAAGTTGTTTGAAAACCACTCCACCTACCTCCACTGCGATTAGCCATTT